GAGCATGCACAAGGCCCTGCATTCGGTCCCCAGCCCTGTAAGAACACAACTTTAGTTGTGTTGTGTATTGTAAGTTTTTGTGTGGACATGTATTTTCACTTCCTGTAGGTAAGTACCTAAGTGTACAATTACTGGGTGATATTGCAGATACATTTTTTAACTTTATAAGAAACTACCAGATTGTTTTAAAGTGGTGGTACCATTTACACACCGACCAACAACACACAAGGATACGGTTGCCGTATGTTGTAGTTTCTCTAAGGAGAAATGATGCTGATGTTGATCTTTTAGTATGGTTTCAGCCATCGTAGATTCCCTACGTGAAGTGTCTGTTGAAATATTTTGCCTCTTGAGTTGTAAGATGATATACATATATACACACACACACATATACATACATACGTACACATGTATTCTGGGCCAGGTGCCAGTGCTGCATGTCTAATCCTAGCTACTTGGGAGGCTGACATCGGAAGGACCGTGGTTCAAGGCCAGTTTGGGCAAATAGTTGATGAGACCCCAGCTCCAAAATAACTGGAGCAAAATGGACTGAAGGTGTGGCTCAAATGATAGAGTTCCTGCTTAGTAAGTGTGAAACCCTGAGTTCAAATTCCAGGGTTTTGAACAAATATGTGTATATATTTATTTGTGTATACATATATACTTACATATATATTTTGGATTCAAGTCTTTTGCCAATTGTGACTATTTTCTGTCAGTCTGTATCTTGCTTTTTCATTTTCTTATCTTCATTTCTTACCTTTCATTTTCTTTTTTCTGTTTTCAGAAAGCTAAAAATTATAAATTTGATGAAGTTCAGTTTAGGCAGTATTTCTTTTATGGTTCATGCTTTCAGTGTCTTGTGTTAGAAATTTTTGTCTACCCCAGGATCACAAAAATTCTCTCCTGAGATCCTAGAAATTTTAGAGCTCTATCTAGATGTTTAGCCCTGTGATTCATTTTCAGTTAGTTTTGTGTAAGGGTCGCGGCTCCCTTTCCCTCCCATGTGAGTAATTTACTGGTCCCAGGACCATTCATTGAAGACCCTGTGTTTTCTTCACTGAACTGTTGTGGCTTTTGCTGAAACCTACTGCCCATGTGTCTGTGTGCCCATTCTTATGGCAAAACATTTTACGTCTCCATCACTGATTTCACGATGCCGTTGAAACTGTGGTAGAAGTCCTCCGAGCTTATTTTGGCCTATCCAGGTCCTTTGCATTCCCTCATGGAGACTCATCTTGGTAATTTCTACAACTATAGATACAAAATTTTCATTGGCATTTCAGTGAATTTGTCTGTCAATTTGGAGAGAATTGAACATGGTTGTGTTAGCTTGGGCTGCTATTGCAAAATACCATGGACCAAGGTGGATTTTTCAACAGAAATTTAGTTCTCATAGTTCTGGAGCCTGGGAGGCCCAAGAGCAAGGTGTAGGCTGGTTTGGTTCCTCCGGGCTAGGGGCTGGGGGAGGAGAAGGGAGATCAGAGAGAGGAGAGAGGGAGAGAGTGATCCCTGACGGCTTTACCTATAAGACCTTACCCTCATGGTCTTATCTGGATCCATTACTTCCTGAAGACCCCATCTCCAAACCCCATCGCACTGAGGGTGAGGGCCTCAAGATACAAAGGAGGAGCCACAGTTCAGTCCATAGCAATGGTATAGCCCTCTGTTTAGGACCAATGTAATTTTTCTCTGCAGGGTTTTGTAGTCTCAGTGTTTGAACCCTGCATAATTAATTTTTAAGTTTTTCTAGTTTTTTTCACGCTACTGTCAAAATTTTTTCAGTCTCAGTTTGCTGCTTACTGACAGTAATACAGAAGCACATCTGGCTTTCCATGCTAGCTTTGTTCCCTGTAATCTTAACTCAGTTTGCTGTTCCATAGTCCTCTGTCACGGCCTCCTGGAGACTTTGCACATGTGCAGTCCTGCCGCCTGCACGTTGGAGACACTTGGCTTTTCTGTCTTGAGTCTGTAAGCCTTCTGTTTTCTTTCTTGCTTTATGACTCTGCCCAGAACTCCAGTGTTGCGTTGGGTGTAGAGAGGTGAGACTTGGACTTGGCTCTTTGCTTGGTCCTGTTCTGTCACTAAGTGTGGTGTGGCTGGTTTTTTTCTCAAGTGTTCTTTACCTGGTTGAGAAAGTCTCCTGTTCCTAGGGAGGTGGACGTTTTTATCACGAATGGGTGCTGAAGTTTGCCAAACGCTTTTCTCTGTTGATTGAAATGACTGCATGGTTTTTTTTTTGTTTTTTTTTTTTTTGCTCCACAGATACAATGAACTGCATTGGCTTAAAGATATTAAAGCAGCACTGCAGTCCTGGCATCTACCCCACTTGGTGTGATGCATCTGTTCCTCACATACTGCTGATTTAATTTGGTAGTATGTGTTAAGAATTTTGGTATCAATGGTCACGAGGAATACCAATCTGTAGTTCTTTTTGTAATGTCTCTATCTGGTTTTGGTATATGATTGTATAATTTCTTCTTTAAATATTTGATAGAATTCACCAGTGAAACCCATTTGAATCTGGAGTTTTCCTTGGTGGGTGTTCTTTAATTATAAATTAAAATTTTATAACAGGTGTAGAGCTAGATGAATTTCTGCTGGATTCACTTTTGGTGTCATTTACCTAAGTTATCAAATATGTTTGCATAAAGTCGTACTTTTTTTTTTTTATCATCCTCCTAATGCCTAAAGGACCTATTGTTTCTTATTACTGTTGACTTGGTCTTCTCACTTTTGTTCTCAATGTAAACAGAAGTTTGTTGATGTTACTGTTTTTCAAAGATTGAGCTTTCAATTTCATTAAATTTTGTTTTCTTGTTCACTTATCTATGCTCTTAAATATATTTCCTTCTACTTATTTTTTAACTTATTTTGCTTTTTTTTTTTTCTAACTTCATAAAGTGAAGGCTTAGCTCAGTGACTTTTTTCTAATACAAGTATTTAAAGTTACAAACTTCCTTCCCCCTACTGTTTCCACTACACACCTCAATTACTTTCTGTGTTGTGGTTTTATTTTCATTTGGTTCAAAATATTTTGTTTTTCCTTGTGAGTTTTTGACACATGGATTATTTAGAATTACATTTAATTTCTAAATGCTTGAGAGTTTTCCATTTATCTTCATGTATTTTTTTTCTAATTTAATTCTGTTGTGGTCAGAAGGCCTACGGCATATATTTCAGTCTTCACAAGCCAGGTTTGTGTTACGGACCTAGTGTGGTAGTTCTTCGTGAATGCTTTCTGTGCCTCTACTCCTGCTGGGTGGAGTTTCTGTGAGTGTCAGATCAGTTGCTTGATATCCTGCTGATACTCAGTCTGTATTCTTTCAGGGACAGACAGGGATTTTGATGTTTCCAATTATAATTGTGGATTTGTTTCTTTCAGTCTGTCAGCTTTTGTTGGGCACATTTTGAATGTCTCTTACTTCATACTTAGGATTGTCCAGTCTTCTGATGAATCTTCAGCCCCTCGTCATCATGAGATGCCCCTCTTCTCCCTGGGAACAGCCTTTCATTTGAAATGTGGTTGTCTGACTCTGGTGTTCTAGTGATTAGCGTTTAAGTGGCATGTCTTTGCTTATCCTTTTTTTTGTTTTTATCTGTGTCTCTACATTTAGAATTACTTTCTTCTAGAGAGGACAGTCAGGTCTTAAGTCTATCCTGAAACCGGAATCTACAGTGTTTGGACCTTTTGCTCTTAATGTGGTCTTCAATGTGAGGCTTTGGTTTAGTTTTGAGGCACTGAGGGTGAAACCTGGCCTCACACACGCTGGCGGTGCCTTTCCAGAGAGCCATCCCCCAGCCAGTGCAGGTTTAAAATCTTGCATCAGCCACTGTTGCTTCTTCATGTTTCCTAGTTCCCTGCCCTTTTGGACTAGCCAGTGGCCTTGCTTTGTGAACTCCACTTCATCTTCACTATTGGTTCATTAGCTACTCCTTTGTCCCCAATTCCCTGTGGCTGCTGTAGATTTGCACAGTCAGCCTTCATTGTGCCCCTGACCTGCAGTGCGTAAGACAACCTCCTCCTCCTCCGTGCTGCGGTCGCCAGCTTCTGCTTTTGCCTCCGTGAGAGCCTCACGCTGCATTTTGATTGAAGTAGTCTCTTACCTTTTCCTCTTGGGTTTTATTGGCATTTTTTACTGACACCTTGAGAGTATCTAATTTGTTTGTAAAGGTATTTTAGAAATACAATAGCATTTTATTTTTATTTGTGGCAGACTTTTAAAGAATTGTGGTAAAATATATAAAACAGACTTTACTATCATTGCCTTTGTTTTGAGATGGGTTTTACTCTGTTGCCCAGGCTGCTCTGAACTCCAACGGCTCAAGTGATCCTCCCGACTCAGCCTCCCACGTGGTTGGGACTACAGCTGCGCGCCTCTGTGCCCTGCTTACTTTAACCATTCCCTCCCTCCGTTTTTTCTTGTTGGTACTGGGGCCTTGCACTTGTTAGGAAGCGCTCTATCACTTGAGCCATGCTTCCAGCCTTTTTGAAGTACATAGTATAGTAATGTAAGTACATTCATGTTATAAAAATAAAGTCTGTCATGTTTTACAGAAAGTAAAATGTAAGAACAAGATTCCTCTTACGCATCCCACGTGTCTATCCTTTCTGGGGCTCGTCCTTTTGTGCAGATTTTATCTTCTCATTTCAGATGTCTCACTCCATATCTTTAGCATTTCAGTTAGTTCTTTTTGTGTTCATTTCTTTTCTTACTATGGTCATGTTTTTTAAAATGCTTTGAGCACATAGAGCATATGTGTGAAACAGCTTTGTAAAACATCTTTCCTGCTAATCCTATCACCCCTTAAATTTCTCAGTTTCTATCAACTCATTTTTCTTGAGGCTGTCATTGTTACTGGTCTAGTAATTTTATTCCTTTCTGACCAAATGTCATACTGAGGTTTGAACTTAGGGCTTCATACTTGCAAAGCAGGTGTTCTCCCACTTGAGCCACACCTCCAATCCATTTTGCTTCCATTATTTTGGAGATGGGGGTTTCATGAACTATTTGTCTGGGCTGGCCTCCAACCATGATCCTCCTAATCTCAGCCTTCCAAGTAGCTAGGATTATGCCCAGCTGATTTTTATATTGTTGAGTGCTGGTTCTTTTGTATATCTTTAGTGGGTTTTTGTTGTTGTTTAAGCAAGTAGTCCAGTTACTTATCATCAGTTGGGGCTTTTGAAGCTTATCTTTATTCTCTTTTAGGGTGGGTCTAGAGCAGCCTTCAGTTAGTGCTAATTCAGCAACACTGGTGGGTATGCTCTGCTATCAGCCCTCTGTATTCAGTGGCATCTCTTTACCCTAGCTCCATACTTCCCAGAATTCTAGGGCTGCCTGGCTCCCACTTCCTGGTGCTGCTTCTCATTGCAGAGTTGCTCTTGTGCCATCTTGTGGGGTTGCCTTCTGCAAATGCACAGACTGCTGTGCCACAGAGGCTCCAGGAGCTCTCTGCAGGCTTCCAAAGTTCTGCTCCCAGGTAGTTGTCTTCTCTCAGGAAGTCCAACCTGCAAATTCCAGCCATCTGGGCCACCTTGACTTCCTACCTCTTTCTCCTCAACTCACAGAGACAAGCTCTGTTGGGTCGCCTTTCTCTGTGTCAGTCTGGAAATGAACGCCAGGCAGAAAGCCTGGGTGATGGTGGGCTTACTCCACTGTCCTTTTACCAAGTACCATGGTCCTAGCCCCCTGCTGTGCATTGTGTGACTGCTGCTTGCATAGTTGTCCAGTCCTTTGTTTCTCATAGCAGGAGCAGAATTTTTGACCCTTTAGTCCCTCTTGGGCAGAAAGGGCATGATGGTTTTTAATCATCTCAAATCTCCCCTTAAAAAAAGAGGTCAGAGGGGTGGCAGAATGGCTGAAGTGATGGAGCGCCTGCCTAGCAAGAGTGGGGACCAGAGTTCAAACCCCAGTACAACTAAGAAAATAAGGTTAAATAGGACTGCACAACCAAAGCCTACAGGTGAGATGCACAACAGAACAAGGTGAGTGGGCCTTCCTGTGCCCTCCAGATGTGAGCGGTACAGCCAGGTCACTGCAGCTGGAGGACCTGTGGGTGTCACTATCCGTGCAGGAAGAGCAGGCAGCTGAGCAGGCTGGATGCCTGGAGGTTGCCAAGGTTTCATCACAAGGACTCAGGAGACACTAGCTGAGGACAGTGTCAGGATTGATAACTGCAGTGATTAGAAATGGTAAATATGTTGAACTTGGTGAGTTTCCGGTCACTGGTACTATTGTGGTTTTTGGAGGATAAGGAACCATGCTGTTATTTTGAAATCTGGCAAATGGAAGCAATGAAGCAAGCGTTTACTCCATCTTTCCTGTTTTTGCCTAGAATAACGAAAGAGTTGATGAGGAAAAGTTACTCTCTTTGTTGTTTTATTTTTTGAGACAGGATCTCACTGTGTAGCCCAGGCTAGCCTTGAACTGGTGATCTTCCTGCTTCCACTTCCAGAGTGCTGGTGTCAGCAGGTGTGCACTGCCTTGGCCAGCTCAAGTTCCTCTTCGTACATGTTCAAGCTCATAAGTGAAGGCTAAGTAAAAATGCATGTACATATATGTATATCTAATTCATTTCACAAGCGCCAGTGAATTAATGAGTCTAGGACGGGACGATCAGTAGCACAAGGATGCGAAGGTGTTACGTGCCTGAGATGGGACCACACTTCACACATCAGGAATGGTCTTATAGAATCCTAGGGGGAAAAAGGCAAACTGGATTTAGTGAATCAATCTTCTTGATCTATCAGGATTGTGAGAGACAGGAGTACCTAATAAGACACACCATGGGGGCTGGGCACAGTGGCTCATACCTGTAATCCCAACTACTTGGGCAGATCGAAGCTTGAGGCTAACCTGCACAAAACTTGAGACCCTAAAGCAAAAAAGGGCTCAAGTGGTAGATCACCTGCCTAGCAAGCACAAGACCCTGAGGTCAAACCCTAAAACTACCCCCTCCCCCAAAAAAAAGACTCCATGGAGATCCAGTAAGAATTAATGAGGGTGACTCCAGGGCAAACAGTGCATGGAACATAATTTACCTGGCCCATTGCCTGGTTTTGAGCTAAGATTTTTTTTTAATGTTTTTAAATGGTTGAAAAATTAAAAAAAAAAAAAGAATATCATGAGATATGAAAATTCTATGAAACTGCAATTTCAGTGCCCATAAATAAAGTCTTGTTGGAGCACAGCTCTGCTGGTTGTTCACGGCTGATCTAACGCTCGGAGAGCAGAGTGGAGAAGGCACAGAGACCGTGTGGTCCACAGTACCTCAAGTTTTGACTCAGTGGCTAACAGAAAAGATTCGTTCCTCCCCGACCTGGAGGACAAGGTGCTAGGCATACATTAAGGACTTAAATTCTTCAGCAAAAATTTCAAGGAAAGAAGAAAGAGGAAAGGCAGGACTTGTAGCTTAAGAGACCTCAGAGACAACCTGATTTAGATCCCTGTTCAAAACATGAAACCATGTAGGAAAAACACCAGCTAATCAGACACATGCAAACAGCGACGAAAGCATTTGATTTTTAAAGATGGGATAATGGTTTTGTGCTTGTGTTAAGAGACATTCTGCAGCGTTTACAGACACCTGCCTTGGCTTCAGTGACCACAGTGAGAGGTTCTCGAGTGCCGTGAAAATGAGTAAGGTTAAGACTGGTTATCTGTGAAAGCTGTATTGGCAGAGGGAGTGTGGTGGGCCAGCATACTGTTTGCTGTTTTCTCTGTTTCTGTAATCATGTTTGAAAATTTACATTAGAGTTACAAAATAATCAATTTCAAAATTAAAGTTTTTAAAAATCAGTTCAAGGGCCATTTCCTCCGGGCCTGGTTGCTCGGGCATGTTTCCTATGCTTCTGTGGAGCACCGAGCTCACACAGTGGCCATCATTAGGTGGCATTTGTCTGTCCCCTGGATCATCAGTTCCTGGTAACAGGGGCCACTTGTCTTTGACCCTCAGTATCAGTCACAGCACTTGGCATGTATTCCAGTGCATAACAGACCCTCAGAAAATGTTTTTGGGATGAATTGTGATCTTTCATGGTCTTTCGGGATTTCTAGATGGTAGTCAGAGTCAAATAAAAATGTAGAGACAGGTCTCCAAGTGCAAGTCTTCATCTGGGAATAAACAGACTGTGGTCGCAGAGCCCTGGCGTGGCCTCTGCTGTGTCTGTGCTCTTCCAGGTTGCAGTTCCTAGGTGCTGGCTGAAGCCTGGCAAGTAGTTTCCTTGTCTTGGGCCGGCAGACAGGTGTTTGTGACTATCTAGTCAGATGTGTGACAGGAATGACCGATTCGTATAGTCAATTCTCACACAGTAGTTCTTACTTTGTTGACATTATTTACCAATTTTTATTTGCCCTACTCCTTCCAAACAGCCTGTGGTTCTGCATGAAACCAACTGGTTGTTTCTCTCTTATGCATCAGGAAAAGTCTAACTCCAAAATAAGGTAAGCTCCTGGATGGCATCTTGTCCCAAGCTGTGATGTCACTTGTCTTTTGCGTGGGGTGTGTCTCCTCAGGAAGAAGACTTTCAAACCTAAGGCCAAAATGTAATCCTGGAAATAGCTGTCAATTCTTTTTATTATCTACCTCATAGTTCCTTTTTATTAATTTAACAAATAACCATTGGTTATAATTATTGAAAACATAATTTAAAAAATTTTTTTGCTTTCTTTCTTTTCTCTTCACACAGTCATCTTCCTACTTGGTTTTTTTTTTTTTTTTTCCTGTTTTCAGTGTAATTTGAACCTCATAAACCCTAAGCTCCAGAAAGTGAGTCAGAAACACACCACCAAAGCTTGAGCCAGGATCTCATTTTTAATAACCACCTGGGCCTGAGACGCCTCTCTCAGTCACTGAAAAGCCCTGCAGGTGCTCAGGCTTGGGTTGTCAGTGGTTAGTCATAGTTATTTTTTGTGACCTTCGTCTCCTGTGCTGTTTTCCTCTGTCTCAAGTATTTGTAGCAGGTGGGTAATTGCCATTTTCATAAAAGTAAAAGGCTGTGCTTTCCTCAAAGTGCTTATGAAGTTGTACCTGGCATGGTTTTGAAGCTAATTTACCTTGCTCAATGCCAGTGATCCTCCCCACTCCAGGACACCTCCCTCACTCGGCTGGCTTGCTCACACTTGTAGGCAAGTCAGCACTGAGACACAGATGTGAGCCATGAAGGACCAGCTGGGTGACACATGGGGGCAAGGGCACAGGCAGACTTTCAGTTGTCCTTGGACTTGGGTTGTGTGCAAATGCCTGTATCATTTCATTGTGTCCTTTTCTCCTTTCCCTCGATAGCTTCCTTTCTGTTTATGGCAACTCTTAGGTGTGGTAGCGGGTCAGGAGATCATGGTTGAGCAGACTTTAGAACACGGGTGAGCTTCACACGCAGAATGCGCAAAAGCCAAAGTGTAAGACTGTCTACCCAGCAGTGCTGCGGCTCCACCTCAAGTATGCCACGCTGCTGCTGCACTTTGGGGAGACAGTGTCAGAACTGGCAAAACAAAGGGTGGCTGGAGTCTGACCACAGGTAGGGGTGTCTGGATGGGTGCCCTCCTCACCACTGCACAGATGTGCTGGAGACAGGTGAACAAAACCCACCTGTCCCCTCATGATGTTGGCAGGAAGATGGGAGTGAAGGACAGCCAAGGATGGCTCAGCCTCCTGGTGGCAGGGCTCAACATAGGCTTTTCAGCCCTTGTTTTCATGCCACTCTTGGGCACCAACTGACACTTTGCCACTTGACACCGTTACCTCTTACCTCCCACATTCCCTGTGCTGGACATTGCACCTATTCCTTTGTCTGCTGGTAAATTTGGTGTTCCTAGGATCCTGTACTGTCTCCTTCCTGCTTTGTACTATCATTTCTCAGGCATTTTTCTACCTTGGTAGTTCCAGGGGGCATGACAGACTCATCAGTGAACAGTGACACCCCCATGGCAGTTCTTTCCTGGGGCACCAGTCAAGAAGCTCCATGGGTGATTCCAACACATCCCCCATGCCTGGGGCAGAGTCAGCACGGGGGCCAGTCAGGATGGAGCCTGAGATGCTGACTGCAGGTCTTCACAGCAGTGAGCATGGTGGTGCCACTGAAGCACCCCTGCTAGAGGGCAGTTATCTGTGAGCTCACCTGAGCTCACTGGGCGGACAAGCTTTACAGAAGATGTAGGTGGCAGCCTTGCAAAGGTGGGGAGATCAGTGTTGCAATCTGGGAATTTACAGATGGTGGTACACAGGTGCGTTTACCTAGTCCAAGAACATCGGGATGAGAGGTGGGTCTGAGTTTCATCACAGTGAGAAATTCCGTGTCACTGGATTGCTCACAGATTGGTGGACCCCAGGAAGTAGCAGTGACATGAAGGGTTTCCTTCTTCCCTCAGCTCACAGTAAAGTTAGGAGGCGCCTTCTAGTGTCAGACACACTACACGCTGCAGTGCGCAGATTGCACTTAGCCTCCATCCTTGTGGCTACAGTCTAGTGAAAAAAAGACACCACGCAAAAAATGGCGACATACACAGCCACCCACCAGGATAAATTCTGTGGAAAGGAATGCTGAGGGAGAGCATGAGAGGGCCCTGTTGCGATTAGGAGTGACACGAGCAATGAACTAGAGATTAATTAGGCAAAACAGTAGGGAAGAGCCAAAGTGACTACACAGATGGAGAGCCATACAGGGCCCAGGGAAGAAAGCCACTCCCTTCCTAGCGTGGGGCACACAGGGCTCAGCAGAGAAGCATGCGGCAGGTGCTGGGGACTGAGGGGTCATAAGAACATCCCAGAACCTGCCTTGCTCTGCCTAGAGATTCCTCTCCAGCTAGTCAGGAAGCAAGAAACTTAACGATTTGTGATGTAGACTGCAGGTTACCTGGTTGAGGTAAAACGGCTTTCAATGATCAGACAAGGAAGGCTGTTTGGGAAGCAAGCTGTAGAGAAGAATCAGGTGAGGAGCTTGGCCCATTGCAGAACTGCAGGGATTCAGTACATGGTTAAAGGTGAAGGAAGCACTCCTGCATAGAGCAGAGGCAGGTCTTACAGATGTGTCCAGGCTGAGTGGCTTGGAGTCCCCTGCAGAGCGAGGCAGGTGAAAGGAAGGGCCTGCAGTTGTTGTTTTTGTTGACTGCTCTGGCAGCAGAATAGACAGATTGTCTGAGGGACGGGCCTGGGGGAAGGGGGGCATTAGTGGGCCACTGCAGTGGTCCCAGGGAGAAATACATGCAAATGGGAGATGGTCAGTTGGACATGCTGTTGGTGGCAGGATCACTGAGACTCCAGACTGGCTGAAGAGTCAGGCAGTGTCACCTGCAGAGGCTCTAAATCTGTGGAGCAGCAAGAGGAGGGTCACTGAACCCAAACCCAAGAGACAGGATGAGGCAAGATGGGGCTGGAGCCAAGAGCTGGAAGTGGCTTTTCCTTTTTCTTAAACTTTTGATTTTAGAATGGTTTCAGGTTTACAGAACAGAGTTCCCATAGACTGGTGGTTTTATAAAATGATTCACCTCCTCCTTGCATTCATGGCACATTGGAACAGGTATCCTCGTTTGCACGAATGCCTCACAGACGTGCATGAGACACACAGTGCACGCTCGGCGCACTCCTCACCGTCCACACACCCAGTGTGTTAGTCTCTTCCGCAGCCATCCTTCCATGCATGCAAGCCAACGAGCATACACTTACGTTCCTCCTTTCTCAAAGGCTAGAATATTATGACATTGTTCTGTAGCTCGCCGTGGTGCTTACCAACACGTTAAGAGACCAGTCCAAACAGAGCTGCCCTGTCTGAGACGGTCACTGTAACCTATACTTAGCCAGTGATTGAGCATTTAAAATGTGGCTGGTGTAACTAAAAGGACTTTTTTTATTTAATTTTAATTTAGATTTAAAAAATGGAAGCAGCGTGAAGTGTTTCCCTGTTGAATTCTGTTGTTTTGCTAGGGTTACATTTCTCTAACCATCAAAAATACAGAGGGCTGGGATGGGCCAGGCAGTGTGGGCAAGTGAGCTCTGTCCTCAGCCACCCCGTGGCTTTGCAGCTAGTGGCCCAGCCTGGCTGCTCCTTCCCACCCTGCCCTGTGCCTGAGCCCTCAGGACAGCCACCTGCCCTCGAGTTAGCTCAAGCGAGGGGCAGTGCGTGGGTTCCTTGTGTCATTGTCACTCCAGTCTGCTCTGGGACGGAATAATACTGGAGTCATCCCTAGACCCTCTGGTCATGTGTGGCCTAGAAAAGCTGTGTAAGAATCCAACGACACAAATAAATGCAAAGTAGGCTGCCCTTGAATGGGTCACCAACAGAAATCTCTGATCAGAAGAAAGGCGAGCGTGGTTCTTGCCAGAGGATCTCATTGTTCTCAAAATGGGCGTGATGACACAGGGTTCGTCTTTGTAGTTGTCTCTGACCTCTCTCTCGGAGACCAGAATTCTGGATAAAAGTTTATATTTACCTGATACCAATCATGGTATTTATATTTTAAATGCACTTAGTTATATTTAATGACCTCATTCTTGAGTTCCTTTTTCATTAAAATAGCTCTCATTTCAGTTGTTGATGTTTTAATAATAAGAATAAATAGGTTTGTCCCAGTAGATATTCAGTACTTAGAACCCTTGGGCCTCTAGTGCGTGTTCACGCGAGTCCAGCTGCTGGTTGCTCTCTCTGGGCTCTTCTAATTTGAGTGGAGTAGATTTTACTGTGAAATAGTACCATTGATGATATGAAAACATAAAGATATAATGACCATCCAACATAACATAGCAGTTTATCCAGAAAAGTCCTAAGTGCTTCCATCTGAGGAAGATGGAAAGACACAAAGAGGGGAGATACTTTTACATAAATGTATAATGTATAAATTATAATCCTGTTGCATTACTTCTGTTCCCATAAATGCATTAAACATTCGGTTTAAAAATCTGAGATGTGGTTGAGTGTAAAATGCATGCTGGGTTTCAGAGACTTAATTCACATTCTGTTTTTAATACTAGCTCAATAGTGTTTTACCTTGTTTACATGTCTTTGCCATATTAGGTTAATTAAAATATTGAAATTAATTCCAAGAATTTATTTTTTAAAGGGACACTAGAAAGTTTAAGTCACATATGTGGCTCAAATTCTATTTTCACTAGATAGCACTGCTATGGAGTTTTTGTTACTTTTTTTTTATAGCTAGTATTCCATTGTGCAAAGTACCATAATTTATTTAACTGGTCCACCCTTGATACATGCTTGAGTTGTTTCTAGTCTTGAAAATGCAGAAATACTTAACCCTGTCCATGTCACTTCATATGTGTGCAGGTTGGCCCAAGGACAAATGCATTTATAGTGGCAGTATTACCAACTTGCCCTCCATGAGTATTGTGCCAATTTGTGCTCCCTACTAACGTGTACATGTGCCAGGTCTCCCACATGAAGCCCTTTGGAACTACACTTGTCTCTATTCTGGGGCTATAATAAACACATTTCTTTACCAGTTCTAACACAGTCCCCCCCGCAAAGTACTGGGGTTTGAACTCATGGCTTCACACTTACGAGGAAGATACTCTGCCCCTTGATCCATGCCTCCAGCCCTTTCTTTCTTGGGTTATTTTGGAAATAGGATCTCACTTTTCTTTTGCTCAGGTTGGCCAGGCTGTGATCCTATTTTAGGCTTCCTAACAGAGCTGAGGTGACAGGTGTGCACCATGGTGCACAGCCACTGGTTGAAACTGATCTCTGGTTCTGAGGCAGTTTTAACAAATCATAGTGGGCACAGTGGCTCACACCTGTACTCCCAGCTACTTGGGGTGGGAGGGGCAGAGATCAAGAGGATTGTGTTTCTAGGCCAGCTTGGGCAAAAAGTTCACAAGACCGTATCTCAACAACAACAAAAAAAGCTGCAAATAGTGGCAATCGTCCCGTCTATACAGGAGGCATAAAGGAGGAGGACTGAAGTCCAGGCCAACCCAGGCAAGAAAAACAAGACCTTATCTAAGAAAGAACCACATGGAAAGGGCTGGTGGAGTGGCTCAAGTGGTAGAGCACCTGCCTAGCAAGAGCAAGACCGAGTTCAAACCCCAATACTGCCAAAAAAAAAAAAAAAAAAAAAGCAAGCCTACCATTGTTAATACAACTCTTAGAAACATCTAAGAATTAACCCGCACTGCTTTCTTAGGAACTGAAGTTGGAGGAAAGGTGCAGCGTTTAGCGTCTTCAGACTTAGGAAGAGGGGCTGTTGGGAAGGCTCGAATGGGCATCTTCCAGGAGTTAGGGTTTCCGCTCCACGCGAGCAGCCTGCGTGCGGTCGTGCGCTGTTAGGGAGTCAGGCCTCTCTCTGGGTTGGCTGCACTGTGTGCTGAGGTCATTCTGACATAGGCCGCAGGAAACAGCTGGAGTTCAGAAGCTGCCACTAGTTTGTCACTAGACTGTCCCTTCTACTTAGTTTGCAAAGCAGCTGCAGCTAAGGCTCACCCTGCCCCCAGGCACCAGCTTCTGTTCCTCTTCTGAGCCTTGAGTGCTCTCCACACTGCTCTCTGCCTCTCCATTTCTTCAGCTGGAAATAAGGAAGTGAACACTTAAGAGTATCACAAGCCAAATGGCTTCAGATTTTCCATTCATTAGAAAATAAGATTGTCATGAAGAGAACTGTGTGCACATAGGACTGTGCTGCTGAGCTTGTGAGTGAGCGTGGTGGACTCTGGCTCCTTAGCAGTAAAGGACAAGCCCAGGACACGGGCCTCAGTGGCTGAGCCATTCTCGCTGTGTGGAAGTGGCTTCCTGTGGGAAGCAGCTTGGCCACAGCTATTCTTTATGTCCTTTTCTGCTTCTGTTGCTAATTTTACCTAATGGTTTTGTTTCAGGAAGGGTTTTCACTCATTGGTAGCAAGAACTGGCTGAAGATTGTGAGACGCATGGATTGCCTGTTGTTTGGAACAACGATAAAGGTAAGATGGGGCTTGGCCACGAGCACGGAGGCCAGCTGTGTAAGCAGTGATCACACTCCGCATGTCCTGCAGAGGGAACGGTGCTGGAGGACGGTTCGCACCAGGAGCCAAGCAGAAAGCAAGGGCTGTGGCTGTGGTGAGGCCTGCGCTCACCAGCGTCTGGGGAGCTCTGTCCCCAGGCACTGGGGAGTGAGCTCACTTATCCTGCTGGTTAGAGGTTTTGATCAGAGAATATTTTTGAAACCTTCACTGAATATGTCGTTCCATTTTCCCTGTTTAATATTAAACAAAAAAATTCCCTTTTATCTGCTTTCTAGCACTATTAAACATAAAGACTCATGCGCACTAATCACCTGCATTGTTTTCTTTTGAAAACAGCCATGAAGACCAATCTGTTAACACGTACTGAGTGAATAACTTCAGTGAAAGATTCTGACTTTTAGTAGCCTGAGATCTCGAGAGTTGAAAGGTCTTCAGGAGCATCTAGTGAGGGTCGTAACCGAGCTGCACGGACCTCAGTGGATCCTCTGTCCCAGGGTCCATGAACTTGCAGATCATGTCCCCTGACCTCTAACTGGAGTCGGTCATTCCTCCTGGTAGGCACATAAGTACAGAGCACACTAGACTTCTCATCTGTGAAGCCCCAGACACTTCCAGATCACATGACAGTTGTTTCCAGTAGCCCAAGGTCATTCATGCTCATCAAACCTCAAAATTAAGGCGGTACTAGTCCTGCTGCTACATCTCTTTGCTGAGTACATTAACAAGGAGGCGTGACAAGTTATAGTTTGGTGTGTTAATATTATAATGAACAATTTACCAAAATTGATTGGTTTCTTCTGTAACCTTATGTATTGTAGGTGATTAAAAATATCTGAGGGCCAGGCATGGTGGCTCACACCTGTAATTCTAACTACTTTGAGGCAGATATTTATCGGGAGGATCTCAGTTCAAAGACAGCCAGGGCAAAAAGTTACCAAGACCTCCGTATTTCAACAAGTAAGCTGGGTGTGGTGGTACATATCTGTAATCCCAGCTGTGTGGGAGGCATATGTAGGAGGAGCTCCATCTGAGGCTTGCTTCGAGCAAAAATGCTACAATGGTAGCAAGGCACAGAATGTTCATTTATCCAAATCCTCTCCAACAGTGATATAATTTAGATTTACAAACTAGTTTCCAGTGTGACAGGCAGAGGTGTGCCTCTTCTTATCATTTCAATAATGAGAATGAACAATTTTTGCTAGACATTTCTCCTGTGAATCACTTCTTCTGCCTTTTTTTCTCCTCTTCAAAGTATTTAGGCACTGTATGAGTAATGTGGATCTGTATGTTTATACACTGTTTAAGGCCGGGAACCTTTTGCCCACTCTTACACAAACGATATTCTGTACCCAAAGATATTTCCAGCTACTAATGAAGTTTTTTTGAATAAATTTAGCTTCCTTACTAAACTTTTGATACTTTGTTAAATCTCTAAGAAAGTAATTTTACAATCAGGAAGCAATGAGAATTTCATTTCCAAGGATTTATATTTTGCATTACTTTCTGCTCCTGAGTTGTCTGAACTCCAGAGCACAGCAGCCATGAGCTGATGGCGGCATCCTTGACATCTTCCTGACTTGCAGTGGACGTGGTGATGGGACATTGGTACAGCTCACCCATATTCCTCATCGTATCAGGGAGACATTCTTTCAGTTGTGGTTTATTCACGGATGCTTTTGTCAGGATTACAGAGGCAGCTTTCCCCAGGGCCGCTCAGTACCTACCAAGATGCTGTTTTCCCCTCCTTTGACCCCTGAATTAACACTGAGCCATCAGTCTTCATTTCGCCTTACCTGGCAAGGGTATCTGGGGCACTGACACCAAATACACGATTGTTTATACCAACAAGGGGAAGTGACAATTTCATTCCTTTAATAGGAATTTAACTTAAATTCTGTGGACAATAAACTCTGTATTTCTTTCCTCTCTTTGGGCTGAAATGCACAGATTGAGTGAACTATGCCTACTTGTAAGGCCAGCGTCCTTTTTCAGCAGTTCTGATCCATCTAGGTTCTGGCTGATGGCTGACAGCAGACATACATCCTACCTGAAGGGCACTTTGGCTCAACACCACGGGCCTCTTCACCCCTCACCCCTAGTAACGCAGTGAAGAGAAAGTCACGTGGTGGCGTGGCTGACCTAGGTAGGCGCCTTCTCTGGGTGCATTACTGCACTTGGCATTTGCACCTTATCCCAGGGACTGCACTGCAGCAGATGGTCTCTTGGGGGACACTCTTAGACTGCAGCACTGGATAAGTCCTTTCTCTGTACTTTCCCCACATTTCCTACAGTACAGAAATCACTGCTAGTGGTGAGGAAACCTTCAGTTGGGGTCCTGGTGATCATGGAAATTTCCTTAATGAATCGGAAACCCCACTGGATTTGTGACACCTGCTGTCTTCCTGGGTCTCTTCCTATAAGGTGCTAACCGACATGCTATCTTCCAGCGTGCCAGGATGCCCTCCAGAGTTTGCTCTGTGTAGATGCCACTCACACCCAAGGTGGCACTTAGTGGCCCAGTCTTTTTTTAGTGTATGTGTGGGTAAGTGTAGAGACAGCCGCTTACACACCTTTTGCTTCCTCAAGGACTGTGTAAGATGGAATCTTCTGAGAGTTCTCTTAACCTGAAATTAGGTATTCTGAAGCAGGGTGGATGGAACTTAGATGGTGGGAACCGGAGCCTCAGGCAAGTTCATGGCTGCTGGCATACTTGAAAACCTCACAGCAGGGAGCTCCTTCTGACTTTTAATTGCCTGCTGTGCAAGAGTAAATCTCACCAAGATCTTCAAGCTTAACGCAGGGCATGAATCCATTGTGGTGCCTGTGGCTCTGAGGGTGGAGGGTGACGCTGTCACTCACTCTCAGATCTTTCCTGACCTCTGTCCGTTTTATCTTGGGTTCACATGCGCTAAAGTGGCACTTCTGGCTCAAACACTAAGACCTTTATAATCGTGAACAATGGAGTAAACCTCAGGCTATCAGACATATAACCTTCCCTGACATTTTTGGAACTGCACTCCAAAGAAACCTAACTCTTCAACTTACATATAGGTGGCTCTGTAGCATAACTGGTCACAGATTCTCATGCTGCTTATATACTTAAAATGCGTCTGCTTGGACATGCAGTTTTTCAGCTAGCTGTGAGGTTCAATTTTTGATGCAAGGCTACTCAAAAGACATCTAGTAAAAAGACACATCACAGATGTCTTCCTATAGCATCTAAAGTAGGGTGAGCATCTACACCAAGAATCAGTTAAATTTCACACAAAAGACACCTAATATGACAAGAAGCTGAACATGTAGGTCTCTTGTCAGCTTTTTTTCCTTCCTCAGGGAAAGTGAGCTTTTAATGACTTACTCTTGATAAACTGGGCAGTGTCCATCCAAAAGAAACATGGCTAAACTCATGAGGGCAATACACAAAAGAAAAAGTGCAGATGACCAGTAAGCATAAAAAAATTCAACCTCAATTATCAAATAAATGAGATTTTGAAAGTCTATGCTAACCTAGTAGGTTGACAAAAATTAAAATGATAAGCACCTCCAGTGTTGGAACACACACTCTTGGTAGAAGCAAACTGGTCCCGTCTTGCTGCAGGTCAAAATATAACCTGTAAGTTACATATGACCTGTAAAACATATGTGCAAGTCCAAACATGTATACATTGGAGTATTTCCTTTCCATAACGAGTTACTTTATACCCAAGGGAAATATTTAAATGAGCTAAAATAAGAAGGAACACAAACAATGCTAGTGCAAAGCAGTGGGGCGCCTGCTTTTCTGAACCCAAGTTCATAGCTGGGCCATGTGTTTTCTAGAACCCAGCTACATGGCTTTGTTTGACGAGTTATTTAAATAGTGTAAATTGGGAACTGGAAAGTTAAGGACTGTTTTGCTAAGTGATAGGTTCTGTGTGTGGTAGTGAAATGCCTGTCCCTGAGCTCATCGTTGCCCCTGCTTCTCTTCACAGAAGAAACTGAGCAAATCCATATGGTGCTGTCTGGGTGGCTTTTATGTAAGTTGACTCATCTGGCCAGGCAGGACATTAGACTAAAGAGGAAGGTGCTACTAAAGTAACAAATGTAGCTGCCAGGTCCAAAAATGTTTGCCTCTGTCCCACATTTGCTAATTTGCCCAGGGAGGTAACCCTGGGCACCCTTCCCCTTAAGGGGAAAGAACACTAGAAACTGTGAACACACTTGCTCTTGGTGTCTGTTGGACCCTGTCCCAGGACTGGTTGTTAGGTCAGTCTGCTTTAATGTGGCAGCTACCTGGATCTCTTTCATTTACTCAGTTTACTCAACATTTTTGTTGAGCCAGTACTATGTCATATTAGCTTTACTGAATCTCCACTTGGGAACTTACAAGCTAGGCAATCTGTTTTCCAAAGCATGACAAAGCATTGACCTTCTAATGCAGTCAGTGGAACCACCTCCTTCTGAGGGAAGTGGATTTCAGTATGAGGATCAGCTTCCAGAAGGGGCGAGAAGATGCTGTGACTAGCTTTCCCATACCTGCACCACAAGGGTTATGCTCTTAGAAGAGCCCACAGGACGTCAGCCAGGTCTCAGAGTGACCTTTGGTTTGTCACACAGAACAAGAGCCGCATGTTTCGTGTCCAGTTTAGTGGAGAGTCCAAGGAGGCAGCACTGGAACATTGCTGCAGATGTGTGCAGAGCCTGGCCCAGTACGTCACCGTGCAGGTGCCAGACACAGTCACCCAGGAGCTCTGGTCAGCAGGTGAAAGCCAAGGGAAGGACTGTGCGAAGAGTGTCCCGCTGCAGCCCAGGGTGAGTGTTCCGGGTGCTGGTGACACAGGGAACTGCTGATGCAGTGCACTGCAGGAGATGGAGCTACAGTGTAGCTGCCAAGACTTGGGGTTTGTGGTTTGAGAGAGAATGTTGAGTGGCCTTTTCAAACACACGGTTGATCCTCATCATAGTCACTTACGAGGCAGGCAGGGAGTCCCAGCTGTATTCTGAGGGCCACCACAGAACGGTACTTCTGGACCCCTCTCTGAGCTGTTTTCAGGGGGCCCAAAGGGTCAAGATGGTTTTATAATAGTAAGACAGGATTTCTTACGTTCCACCGTCTGCACTGGTGGGACAAAAGCATTGAGCACAGCTGCTGTCTGTACAAAGTAGGCACCTGTGCACCATGTTGTGCCTACAGCCGTGCCTGTCACTGGGCACTTGCAGGAACTCACACTGCTGTCTTGGGAAGGCACTGAGTGAGGCCTTGGCCCCTTTGATGGACCACCACTGCTTAAAAGAATGATGGACTTTACGGTGGTCATTCAGCTTTGGGTGGTTGGTGGACACTCTCAAAAATGAAGCGACCTTCTCACTTCAGGACTTCAACTGATGGTATGTGACAGTACTGAAATGTAAGCTTGTCAGAATTTGGAAAGCTTATGTCTGCCATGAGCTTCATGCCTTCCAGGCTTTGTTTTTAAATAAATGAATGACATGGCAAAATGTGTCAGCATTAGCGATAGGTACAGTTCTGTGAACTGATTTTTCAACTGACCAACTCGTGGTGCTACAAAGCTGTATGCTGATAAAAGAACTAGAAAAATCAACAGATTTCAATATTGACAGTGTTTCAAGTTTATTGGCATGGTTTTGGACTCAACCACTTGTTGAGTTTTGGTGCCATACCAGGAAAACCCACAAATAAAAGCTGGGCACAGGTGGTTCATGCCTGTAATCCTAGTTGCTTGGGAGGCTGAGTTTGGGCAAATCACAGTTCGAGGCTAGCCTGGGCAAATAGTTTGCAAGACCCCCATCTCCAAAATAACCAGAGCAAAATGAACTGGAGGTGTGGCCCAAGTGGTAGAGTGGCTGATTTGCAAGCACACAGTCCTGAGTTCAAGCCCCAATCTGACCGAAAAACAAACCCTTACTAATAAACCAGATGTAAAGACTCATGCCTATAATCCCAGCTATGTGGAAGATGGAGATTGGGAGAATCTTGGTTCAAGGCCAGCTTAAGCAAAAAAAAAAAAAAAAAATCAGCAAGACTGTCTCAACTAGTAAACCAGACTTGGTAGCAGTGTACTTGTAGACTCACAGCTATGTGGGAAGCCTCAGTGTGGGGTGGATTACGTTAAAATTTGAAAAAATAACCTAAAAGCCAAAAAAGGGCTGTGTGGCTCAAATGGTAAAGTACTTGCTTTTCCATTTTCGAAAGCAGGCCCTGAGTTCAAATAATAGTAGGCAAATCACAGTTCGAGGCTAGCCTGGGCAAATAGTTTGCAAGACCCCCATCTCCAAAATAACCAGAGCAAAATGAACTGGAGGTGTGGCCCAAGTGGTAGAGTGCTGATTTGCAAGCACACAGTCCTGAGTTCAAGCCCCAATCTGACCGAAAAAACAACCTTATTAATAAACCAGATGTAAAGACTCATGCCTATAATCCCAGCTATGTGGAAGATGGAGATTGGGAGAATCTTGGTTCAAGGCCAGCTTAAGCAAAAAAAAAAAAAAAAAATCAGCAAGACTGTCTCAACTAGTAAACCAGACTTGGTAGCAGTGTACTTGTAGACTCACAGCTATGTGGGAAGCCTCAGTGTGGGGTGGATTACGTTAAAATTTGAAAAAATAACCTAAAAGCCAAAAAAGGGCTGTGTGGCTCAAATGGTAAAGTACTTGCTTTTCCATTTTCGAAAGCAGGCCCTGAGTTCAAATAATAGTATCACGTCCCCCCCCAAACCAAACCAATTATCTAGAAAACTAGTTTAAAATACTCCCCCTCTTCCATCTACACGTCTGTGCATGTCACATCATCTCCACGTACTTTAGTCAAAAAACCAGGCAGCAGCAGACAGTGCAGAGGCAGGCAGAAGAGTCGCACCACCTTCCATCTCTACATACCAAAAAGGTTTACAGAAGTCACTGTCTTGTTTTCTGAAAGTTATTTTTCATAGCTGGCGGTGTGGCTCAAGTGGTAGGGTGTCTGCCAAGTAAACGTGAGGCCCTGAGTTCAAGCCCCAGTACTGCCAAAAATTAATTTTCATAAAGATATTTTAGTAACAGGGCTTTTAATGATAAAAATTGTTTTTATTTCTAATAGGATAAATATCCCACATGTTAAAACAAGAGCTGTTTGAGGGCTTCAATAATTTTTTTTCTTTTGGCAGTACTGGGGCTTGCTCAGGGCCTACACCTTAAGCCACTCCACCAGCCCTTTTTTGTGATGGGTTTTTTTCAATAGGATCTCACAAACCATTTGCCCAGGCTGGCTTCTAACTGCAATCCTCCTAATCGCTGCCTCCTGAGTAGCTCGGACTACAGGCGTGAGCCACCAGAGCCCAGCTAGGGCTTCAATAATTCCTGAGAGGAGTTAAGTCTGAGACTTGTAGAATTCCTTCTGGAAATACGTATATTAGCAGCATTTCCTTGGCATCGTCCCAAGTGCCATTAGAGGAAATTCCACTTTCAAACTGGGTTGTGTTCCACTTTGAGGAATGATTTTCCAATCTTGGTTTATTTTATTCATCCTGTCAGGTCCACTTAAGCAAGACAGTTTTCGTTTTCTTCTTCTTGGTGGAATTGGGAGTTTGAACTGAGGGGTCTACCACTTGAGCCCCACCCCTAACCCATTTTTTATTTTTGTGGATAGGGTGTTGTGTTTCTGCCTTGGCTGGCAGGCACTATGATCCTCCTATCTGTACCTCCCTTGTGGCTGGGATCACGAGACATGTACCACCACACCCAGCTTATTGGTTGAGATGAGGTATAGGTAATTTTTTGCCCAGGCTGGCCTCAAACCACCATCTTCCAGATCTCTACCTCCTGAGTAGCTGGGGTTATAGGTGTGTACCACAGCACCAAGCCCGTTTTTGCTCTTTGGTCACAGAATTTCTTCATTCACAGTTTAGCTAAGGTGAACATAAAAGCACATTGTTACATATGTTATTTATAATTTATCACATGAACATAAATTTTTAATTTTTTTGGTGGTACTGGGGTTTGAATTTAGGGCAATCTACCACTGGAGCCATGCCTCCAGTCCATTTTGCTGTGGTTATTTTTTGGCAATGGGGGTCTCTCTTTGCACAGGCTGGCCTTGAACCATGATCCTCCTGATCTCAGCCTCCCAAGTACCTAGGATTATAGGTGTGAGCCCCTGGCACCTAGCAAATTCTTTTTTCTTTAAGCAGGTGCTACACGACATCCTCAAATGTTTAGTTTGCCAGGTATTTCCATCTTCGAATTCTTTCCCCTCTTTGATCATTTTTTGTGAAGGGCATTACTTGCTGAAGTTACTGTCTCTGGGTCCAGTTTCAAACAGTACGCCTCCTTTGCTTTAAGATCCCCCTTCCCTACAAATGGATTGGGTGGTATATTAAGACTTGTCATTGTTGTGACAATAAACAGCTTAAGGAAAGACAGGCTAGCAGTTACACAGGTTCCAGCCCATGGCTGGTTTGCTTTGTTGCCGTGGCCTGTGGGAGAGAGTATTATGGTTGAATAGTGTGTGGTGGGGCTGTTCACCTGGTGGCAGCCAGGAAGGGAGTCACATTCTCAGTGACCCACTTCCTCCAGCTTGGCCCCGCCTAACAGTCCATCCGCTCATGAACTTGTGAGTGGATTAACCCATTGGTTAGCTCAGAGCCATAGGATCCACCACTTCCCAACGGCCCGCTAGCTAGCAACCAAGGCTTTAACACACGAGCCTTTGGGGAAGGGGGCTTTTCACAGCTAAACCCTAACAGGTGTCTTCTTATAAGGTACTTTACTGCTTATGAGTCTTTGCCCTTCCAGGAGGCTTTACAGTAGCCATTATTAGATTTAGGTTGTGTAGTTTATCCAGTGCATCAAATGTGACTGGAACCCAAGAGGGTTCCAGGATTTGGGAACTAGATCTGGAATGTCATATAAATATAATAGAGATATCAGGCTACCCATCTAAATATTAAAAATGCAATGTGTTACCTACTACGTGGTAACACATGCACAGTGAGGGTTAGGAGCTGGTGCATATGAAAGCTCCAGCTCTCTGATTTTAATGGCTGGTCCCAGATGTCTAGGTAGAAATATCCTAAAAGTGGTTAGAAAACTTTCATGTCTTTTCTTGAGTCTATATTCAGACTCTTCTGATTTGTAATTTGGTGTTCTAAATAGATGAGCCAGCATGATGCTGGCGAAAGGTCACAGGCTTTAGAATCCAAACAGATCTAGGTTAGAATTCTGGTCCTATTTTTTGGTAGCCATGTGATCTTGTGCAAGCCACTGAACCCCATCTGTGAAATGGTGAGAATGAGGTGCTAGGTAGAAACACCCAAGTACAGTGCCTGGCAAATACAGTCTAAGTCGCACTGCCCACCGTTACTACTGCTAGTGTAGTTACCTTTTCACATCTACCTTCCCTTACAAATGAACTAGACGGCATCCAGGGTAGCAAGGATCAGAACCACCAGATCCAGCAGGGGACAGATGATCAAGTGACTGAAGCTCAGAGCAGAAGTCAAGATGAAGTTGTGAGACAAGTCTATAGCTTTACCATCTCCCAAATAACAAAAACGTCCAAGGCTGTCCCACAGACTTGGCCTCATGCTTCCTTCTCGGAGTCCACCTTGAGTTGCAGACCATGGCTGAGTTCTGGTCATCTTGATGCTCCCTTCTCCTTCATTCAGGTGTGTCATTTTTCCAATACCTATACATTTTTAGTCTAAAATAGTTCCTCTTTTTTGCAAATAGGGATAATTCCATGTTTATTTTAAGTTCTTGAGTCATTTCCTGGCTCGTGTCTTAGTTTTTGCTTTTCCTCAGGCTTATAATTTTGGTAACTGTGGCTTAATCAGGTGTTTCTCAACCTGTGCGCTCCTAAGGTAACCCACCCCACCAGAGAGAGAGTGGTGGGAAAGGCAGGAAGGAGGCTGGCAGTTCCTTGTGAGCCCTTTTCTTTCTTCGCACAAAAGATCCAGAAGAAAGTGTCCAGAGGGCTCCAGCTACTGTGTACACAGGACCTTCCCTCTCTCTGCACTTGACAGGGTGAACCAACCAATCCAACCCTAGAGCTCACCAGCCTCAGGAGCTGCAAACTTGTCTGCTGTTTGTAGTGTTTGTAGCATAGGATTTTGGCTGACATCTTTCTCGGCTGTTTGAAGAAGTGTGGGCTGAATTGATCCATATTCTGGGAAAGCATCCCACAGCAGAGCTGGAAGAAACTATAGGTACTGGAGTCTGCCTTACTTTCACAGATGAGAAAAATCAAGCAGAGAACTGTTTCCCGCCCCCCCCCTCCAGTACTGGGGCTTGAACTCAGGGCCTTCACCTTGAGCCACTCTACCAGCCCTATTTTTGTGAAGGATTTTTCAAGATAGGGTCTTGAGAACTATTTGCCCAGGCTGGCTTTGAACTGTGATCCTCCTGATCTCTGCCTCCTGAGTAGCTAGGATTACAGGCTTGAGCCACCAGCCCCAAGCTCCCAGCTCCCAAGCAGAGAACTGAGGCATGTCTAAGGGCTCCCAACAGTCAAGTTCCTTGGCCTTTTTGCTCCTTTTGAATTTAATCCTTTCAGCAGCTTCCTTCTTCCTCTCTGACCTCCTACCTTCCTTTTTTGATGCTTTCCTCCTACCGTCTCGTAGGTCTAAAAGGCAGAATTTGGCATCTACTGTCTCTGACCCTCCAAAAGGGACTCGTTCTCTCCCTGTACCCACCCTCAGCTTCCACCTAGCACAGGAACACTGCTTTTCTGGAGACAGCAGTGTGGGAGCCATAGGTGGCCAGAGCCCAGCCAGGGCCTGTTGGACATGCAGGCAGGGAGGAGCATGGGGACCCTTGAATCCTGAGATTTTCTACACCTTATTCATCCCACTTGTCTGGGAAGTACCCCATGTACTATTCTGACAGTTCTGTCTTCTGAGTTCCCTGGAGTGCTCACACACGGTGGATCACCTCCTGTGATAGCCAAAGCGCTGGTTTGCTGATGACCATGCTTTGTCTGCTTGGTGCTCAGAAGCTCTGTTTTGTCCCTTCTCACTCCCACCCCTGTATCACTTAGTGTCAAGTACAGTTGTTGAACAGAGCTGAAAGTTTTACTTAAGAACTTTACAATGTCCAAAATTAGTTAAGAAAAGTCTAGTTCTATTAAAAATATAACTATAGGATTGGGCATTTCTGCAGTTGTGCATATTACCTGAGTCACACGTCTTAGAGGATGACAAACCATGACCATCAGAAGCAAGGCCCTGTCCACACACAGGCCACCTCAGCAATGCCGCTGCTCCCTGGGTGCCAGTCCCAACTCCCAGGCTGGGACTCTGAATGGAAGTGCACCATGGTGTCTGACAAGAAGGCTGCTGAGAACACCAGGTTCTGGTACTTATACTATGGAGATCAGGTTACCAGGAGGACCTATGTTGAGCACAATTAGTGATCACTTTTACTGATACTGTCTTTCTTTGAAAACTGCATGTTGTTTTATTCCAGCCCCACCTAAATCTGGAACAGCAGGCGTGTGTGGCAGCCAGGACAGGTGAACTAGAGGGACGGACCTCAGTGCCACGTTTAGCTCAGGTACAGCCTATTTCTGTGTTGGATTTTCTTTGTCATGAGAAACAGTGGTAAGAATTTGTATTCCTTGGTTCACTCCCTTGTTCTAGAACAGAAATCTAAAGTGTTATTATAGCAGAAGGCAGAGACAGGGTGGCACACAGTCAAGACCTACCTACTTAAGGAAGTCAACAGGAGACTGGGTGAACAAAAGAAAAGAATTCAATTAAATTTTGGAAATGAAATTTGGGAACTATTCTAAAATACCAAAATGGATTTCCAGTTAGACATACAGTGGTTTCTGCAGGGCAACTTTCAGTGCTGAGATGTCAGCTAAGGAGCGTGGAAGCCTTGGAGAGTTCAGATGTCACCTCTGACCTACTTGCAGACAGCCTTTGTCACCAGTCCTGCTACGACTCGATTCACATTATGATGGCTTCTGTTCTTTCTGACAGGAGGCCATGAGGACCCTGTCTCCCCTCACTGCCTCTGGCTGCATCAGGTGTTCACGTCAACAGCTTATGCTTTCCACAGAATTGTGCATGGAGTTCATCAATAGGGTGAATTCTTTTTAACAAGCATCTATTAAACTCTGTTTACAGTAGCACAAAAAGAAAACAGGCATTTTTTCCATCTGGCTTACCCACAAACTCAAACTATATGGCGCTCACAGAAAAAAGAACTGAAAAGGTAGGAAGAAAGAAGGCTCGGGCTGGAGGCGTAGCCCAGTGAGAGCAGCTGCTTATCATGTATGAGACCCTGGGTTCGCTCCCCAGTGCGCGTACGCGCGCGCGCGCGCGCGCGCACACACACACACACAGAAGACAACTGAGAATTCATATCTCTTTTAATAGTCCAGCAACTATAAAAGAAAAATGAAAAAAGCAGCAGGGCAGACTTCCTCATACCCATGTTTGCACTAGATACAGTGGCTGAAGGCACTAGAGTTGCCAAAAGACTAGGACCGAGGTAGGGTGTGATACCCTTATTGACAGCTGATTTACATAGTACAGAAGGACTATGCACAAATGAGAAAAAGCACAAGGCTTGGAGCTCAGATATGTTACTTGTTTGCACTAACTTTTGGATAAATCATCCTAATGAATGTACAGTTGGATAAACATTTTGGAAGGCAATTTAGCAGTATATACCAATCTTGATATTACATTTTATTACTTATAACTGCATTTCAGCTTTCATGGGCATGTGGATGTTTATCAAAATGCTGTTTATAACAAAAAACTGGAATCAACATATGTTTTCACTTAATAGGCTACAGCGTCCAAACTGCGGTGTAATGCCAGGTATGAGTGAGATTAAAAAGATGACGTCAAGCCCCAACAGTCACCTGGGAAGATATTCACAGCTCCCTTTTTTTTTTTTTTTTTGAATGGACACAATGCTGCATTATGATTCCATTTTTGTAATAACCACACACTAAATTAGGAAGAATATATACCGACATGTTAACAGCGGCTCTAGTTGGAGAATAGGGCTCCATGTTACTTTTGTATTCTGTGTACTCTTAAGCAGGATCTGAAAAGCCGATCTGAATTTAGAAAAGTTTCTATTACAGACAGTTCCTAGAGAAGTATCAATTATATTCTTAAGTATTGAACCATGCCATCCACAGAAAGGGGATCAAAGCCTCTTACCTGACAGGACTGATATGAAGAGTAAGATACTGACCCAAAAAGGCCAAAGCCAGTGGATCCCATCAGAGCTGGAGCCACTGTTGCCAGATCTTCCAAACTGTCAAGCAATCAGACTTTTATTTGAATTCTCCTAGTATTTAAATGTTGGCAACACACCCAACTTGTCTTAAAGCACTGCACATTACCAAAAAGAAAAATTACATAGCTGGCAAATAAATGCATGAAAAGATGTTCAGCAGTATTCATTATTAGGGAAATGCAAATTAAAACCACAATGAGATTCTAAACATTAGACTGACAAAAATTAAAAATGAAAAAGTTACATACAATACCAAGTGCCAGATGGATGAGAAACAACTGGAACTCTCATATACACTGCTGGTGGAATGTAAAATGGTGTAGCCCCCTAGTGAACAGTCTGGTAGTTTCTTACAGAGTTAAATATCTACTTAACTGCATGACCCAGCAGTCCCACTTCTGGGAAATGAAAACTAATGTTCAGGCCGGGTGTGGTAGTGTACAACTGTAATCCCAGTACTCAGAGAATAGAAGCAGGAGGATTTCAAGTTTGATGCCGGTCTGGGCTACATACATAGAAAAACCCTATCTCAAAAAAAAGGGAAGGAAAAAACCCATACATGACTGCTTATACTACCTTTGTTCACAATCGCAAAAAGCAAAACCCATACGAGAACTGTGCAGACTGTGATACATCCCAACAACGGGATGCTCAGCAATAAAAAGAAATAGATTACAGGCATATTAACAATGCAGATCGATGCATGATGCTCCTTGTCTTACAAGGGGATTTGCATGTTGATAAAACTATAGGCTGAAAATATGCTGTGTCAAAAATGCATTTCAGCTGGGCACCGGTGGCTCACACCTGTAATCATAGCTACTCAGGAGGCAGAGATCAGGAGGATCGTGGTTCAAAACCAGCCCAGGCAAATAGTTCACAAGACCCTATCCTGAAAAAAACCTAGCACAAAAAAGGTCTGGCAGAGTAGCTCAAGGTGAAGGCCCTGAGTTCAAACCCCAGTACTGCAAAAAAAAAAAAAGAAAAAACATTAACAAAACACATTTAATCCATCTAACCTATGAAACATCACAGCACACTGCGCGGCATGGGTGAGGGGAGCTGCCACTGCCCAGCATGAGAGGATCTCACCGTGTTATCACCACCCCACAAAAGTGACCAGACTTGAAGTATGGTTTCTACTGAATGCATACTGCTTTCACACCACTGTAAAGTAGAAAGCCCGAAGTTGAACAGTTGTAAGGAAGGGAATGTCTGAACTGACTTAATTTACAGCATATACTATTCTGGGAAAGAAAAACTATAAGGTGTGGAGACGAGTTACCAAGCCTTAAAGGCTTAACAGTGGGTGGCATGAGGGAATTTTGAGGGGGGGGGGGGTCAAGTATTCTGTATTTTGTGGTGATGGCTACATGACTGTTGTCAAATCTCTCAAATGGCCAAAAGAAAGACATGTGAACTAATTTTGTATTTTTTGCTGTGCAGGCCTTGTGCTTGTAGGCAAGCACTGAGCCACTGCGCCCTCTTCCATTCAAAAGCCAGTTTCTACACTTTGAATTGCTCACATGCACACAGCCACCTGTGCAGTGGAGAACATGAACTAAGTTATTGGACTTCGTTCACTGATGGGTTTCTTATCTGTCAGAATGTTATTATCACAGTATTCATGAGCAGGCACTCAATTCTGCAACTTCAGTTCAGGTGTGGTGGTACACAACTGTAGTGACCCAGGTCAGCCTGGGCTACACAGTGAGAGAAACCCTGTCTCAAAAGGAAAGAAGAAAATATTGATACAAAAATTATAAACATTAACAGTAAAAGAACCCTTGTAAAGGTAATTAACAGTCAGGTTTTTTGGTATGTGTTTCCCTCATCTTAAGGCAATATTTTGGGTATGGTGTTGCCCATAATAAACTATTCTGGTGTCCCCACAGACTATCCTGGCCTCAGAGGAGCTGCCTCCTGTCTATGAACAACCCACATGGGGTGCAGAAGAATTAGGCCCCTTTCTACGCCTGTGCCTCATGGATCGAAACTTCCCTGCATTTGTAGAAGAGGTAGAAAAAGAACTTACAAAGCTGACGGGGTTGAGGGATTAATGCTCCATGTATATTAACTATGGAACGTTAAAGAATACATTAGAATAAAGAATATTATTCCAAACCATTTTATCAATATTTTATTGTTAAAAACAGGTGGATCCACTTTTTATACAGCATTGCACTTCAACAATTACACAGAACACAGTACATGCATCTACAATTACGTACCGCATGAGAACCCAATCAGGTTTAAAATCTACCATCAACCATTAAATCAATGTGAAAAAATACAGTGTCAAACCAAAAAGAGTAACTGGAGTTGCATAGAATACCACCATGCTATAACATTTCAGGGTCACTGAAAACAAAAGATAAATTATAAAAGTTTGCCTAATTGAATGTACAAGAAGGTTCAACACATCAGTGCAAAAGGATTTAGGAATTTACAGGATTCAACCAAAGAAAAAAATAGTTATTTAAAAAGCAATCATATATATCCATTATATCCTTTCAGTGGACTGCTTCAGCTTCTCAAAGTCATAGATTAAGCCCTTAAAAATCATAGATTTCAGTTTATATTACTTATCCTTTGTACCAAAACCACAGTTTCCTCATCTGACAACATATAATAAGGAATGAATATCAGCAGCTTAAAAATGAAACAAGCATTTATTTTGGATTTCTCCCACCCCCAAAAATATAAATATATATTTATATATTGTATATATCTGTAGGTTTTGCTGTACTTTACAAAAATGTATCACTAGATGGCAGCAGTGCATTTAGAGCTTTGCCAATTTAACAGCTGCATTAAGTAAAAAATGGCGCATGCACATCTGATCCTCAGAGGACCTTTTCACTTCTATTTCAATATTTTAACAAAGGGGAAAAAAGCAACATTCACAGCACATCAAGCCCAAAATAGTTTACACCTTCTACAATGAAGCATTGTTTAAAATGTACCTGGCTAGTTCACCCTTACAGGAGAGGCTAAATAAGGCATGCTTTAGACGGTCATTGTGGTGTTGCTCACTTGAAAGGGAGAGACCAAAGGAGGTCCAAGCAGAAAATTTAGCAGGTCATGTTGCCACCAGTTTCAGGAACCTAAAGATCTACAGAGAGAGAAGTATTTGGAAATTAAAAGGGAATATGCATTGCCACTCAGAACTACCAAGTAAGGGCCACACCAAAGCTTTGGTTCAAACAGCATGCTCACAGCTCAGGGATGTGGTGTGAAATTCTGATCTCCATGTGCCTAAGAGGATGGCACTCTGACCTGCTGCATCCTGTCCACCATCTTCGTCTTGCCCTCAGAGGCAAAGCAGCGCTAATAGCTCTTTGGGAAAAATTCACCTATGAAGGTGACTTTAAAAAAAAAAAACACACACAAAAAACACTTGTTACAAGTAAACAAGTGCAAAGTATTTTGAAACACTGTCTGTGTTGCACATACATACATGTGCATCAAATGCAGCTGAAAAATGTTCCTTTCCACCAGTATCAGCTGCTCTAAAATGAACTAAAAGGTCTCTCCACATAACACCAACTATTGAAAAATCTGTAACAAGGTCAACAGAGGCACAATTCATTTCAAATAAATTTTTAAATCTAAGGAAGGCCATACTTACATTAGATGCAGTGCTTAATTTGTGTTTCTCTGGCGTAAGTTTTTATCTTTGTGATTGTTGGTAGAGTTGGTTTTCCTTTGGAGGAAGAAATTGCATTGCATCAATTGTTACTAGTAATAATGTTCGAAAGTGTAACACATGGAAATACAGCAACTCTTTCACTTACTACCATCCCTGATATAGCAGGAAGCAGTGGGTACACTATTCTGTACCTACATACCTTCAATTAATAGGTCCTTTTGATTCCCATAGCAGAAGATATACAGGTAACTTTCCCTTTGATTTATAAACTATAATCCAATTATTACAAAGGTGAGCATCACTGCAGAAGACATTTGTCAACTGGCCATGCTGCACCCTCTGACACTTGGTTAACTTGGACACTTTGCTTGCCTCTTGCTTCTTAGTCTCCAGCTCTAGGACACTGCCAATCTGGGACTAATTCCACACCTGAAGCTCATCTCTCTTGGATACCAGCAATTGCTAATGGAGCTAAACAATTTAGCCATACTACAGTCCAACTGGAAATTGAGTCCAGCAAAACCTGAGGCATCGGATGTATTGCTCATGTGTGCCCTGCATTACCAATTTAAAACATATGGAATGTACAATGTCTAACAACTTTTTTGCATGGTATTCCATTTACATGGCTATGAACAAGACTGTGCAGCCTGCCCTGGGAATCAAATGGTCTTTAGTCAGAACTGTCAGGCTAACAAGTCCACTCTGCAACATGCTGTCTTCCCCGTGCCCATAGGTTCTCCATTTGACTAAACTTCAAATACAGCATAACTGAGGCAGAAGTTGTTGAATCAATGTCCAATGGAGTACTTACATTGGCCCAGCTGGTTCATCATCTGTATGGTTTCAGTTTTAAAATCCATGAGAAAGAAGAGAAGAAAGGAGAAAACTGTTAAGACTCTGCATGAGGATCAATACGAGAGCAAACTGCAAGTGGCAGACATGGCTATTGACAGCATTTATTAAAGGCCATTCCATCTGGAGGTGCAAAACACTCATGGAGTTATTTCTAGAATTAAGTTTTAATGGCAGGTATGTTGTTTCGATGGTTTTAGTTAACACTTTGAATGCTTGTCATGAAAAACTGCAACTGTAGCGGACAGACAGGCTGCAATATCATTGTACTCATCTTGTCCTCAAGTTCCAGTGGTTCACTCTTAGTAGATGGGAAGACAAACCCAACTTAGTCCCCTTTTAGCAGATACATGTACATAGAGAAAATGTCATCAAAAAAAAAAAAAAGTAAAAACAGGCCCACAAAGGGAAGTGAACAAGTAAGTGCTCTTACGTTTGGTTTTAATATATAAAAGTTCAGTGAACTAAATGATTTCACTGAAGGCTTCTAGAAAAACTCTCAGCAGGATTCCACAAGGGGGCTTGGTGCACATGAAGCAGTTATGGAGATTGCAGTCTCGGTGTAGGCGTCTGCAGGAGCACATGTCAGGAGTAATGTCTGTCAGAAGAGACATTGCTCCACCTGTTCCTTCCAGGCAACGGAGAGGCAAAGCCACCACCAGCACACACAGTGACTGGAGCAAAAAAGGATTTCAAAAAAAAGAACTAACCACATACCAATGACTCATCAGCCAAACAACAGGCCAGCAACACACCAGTGTCCACAGGAGTCCACTACTAACAACAGTACACTATCAAAACAGGTACAGAGAACAAACTTGGACTCAAAGACACCCAAGACATCTGTGCGCTGTGTGCACAGGGGAGATACAAAGACAGACCATGTACTACAACACACGAGCCCAGCCTCAACCCTCCCCTCACCACAGCCTACTGCTTTGCGTCCCAACCAGGCCAGTCAGCTACATGCTAGGAATTAAGCACCTTGGGGATTTTAAGGAGAAGACACAGGAACAAACAGTATTTTTAGTGCTCTGGCTGTACACCAAAAAATACAAAATTCCAATGCAAGAAAGCTGAATCGAGGATATCACCAATCTACTCCCAACTTTAAAATAAAAGGTAGGGGAGGGAGAGTCACAATAGCCAGACTAATCTTTTCACTTTTCAAAGCACAACACTCTCATCACCAACCCAAGCACCTCAAACCACAGGCTTTTTTTTTTCTTTTGGATTGGGGGCATTCCCTGGTATCTGATTAGAAACATCACTTTCCAACTGAACAGGCTGGTCACATGCAAAGGGCTGTATGGTGGCATTTTAGCAATGGTGCGCCTCTGGCATAGCTGCCATGCCTGCGAGTGGGAGCAGCTGTGATTCACACTGTGGTCAAAATCCCAGGACCTCCTCATCTCTCTCCCCAAATCCACTTTCACACTGACAAAGAACAAGAAGAAAGCCCCCCTCTCCCTCCTCTCCTGCACTGAGTCCTCATCTGCATCACCATTCTCCCTTATAGGTCAGACAAAAGAATGACTTGACCCCTAATAGGGGAAGGTAGGAGAGGGGGAAAGAACAGAACTACAGAAAAGAAGGTACGAAAATCAAAGTAAATGAGGATTAAACAGCAAACTGAAATCCAAATTAGTTGTGAAAGTGAATGAAGTAGTAAACTTGAAGAAGTGTTAACATGAACTGTGCATCGTATAGACTGAAGCGGAGATTGAACAAACTCCAAAGCATGCATATCGCTCACTTACCACCATGTTTTAAGGGTTTGATGCAATTGAGGGGGGAAAAAAAAGAAGTCATAGTAACCGACATATATCAACACACCCCGAACCCTCAGGCCTTACAAAATGACTGTTCTCTCCACCTGGGGATTACTCACAGCCACTGGCTAGATGAGAGGAAGAGGACTGGGGTGGGGAATGGAAACAAGATGCTTCTAGAATCCGTCTGATGAGTGTGAAGTTCCTGGTGGAGTTGGGACACACTGGTTTATCTGCAGCTTCCTCACTGAAGGCACTATAGCTCTTGCTGCCCCCAACACCCAGCTCTGCAATGCCAATGCCGGCAAGCAACAGGCCACCTGGTACAGTATCATCTCCAAAAAGATAGCTTTCATGTCAAAACAACCAAGACTTATTTCTGGTCAAAGCTCCTTTGTCACTGCATTCATCTCACTAAAGATAAGTTTTTTTTGTTTTTCTTTTTTTTTTTTTTTTTTTTTGAGACAGGGTCTCAGTATGTAGTCCAGGCTGGCGTCAAACTCAAAATCCTTCTGCTTTGGCCTCTCAAGTGCTAGGATCACAGGCATATGCCACCACACCCAGTCTGGGTTTTTTGGTTTTTAAATCCACTTCAGATTTTGCCTGCTCTCAGTGGAATAGCAAAGCCCTGGAGATACTGAATGGTTACTTCCAGTTTCCTGCTTGTTCCACCCTACTGTACTTTTTCTTTAAGGGGACTGAACCAAATGGCCCTACAGCTAAGAGACAATGAATATGGTCTAAAAAGTCCTGCTTCTTTCCCAACATTCTTAGTCTGCTGTAAAGCTTCATGTTACCTAATGCTCTGACCATCTAATAGATTTTAGAACATTAAAACAACTCTTAAATTTGTCTTAGAGCTTGGATGTGTCAAAGCTACTAAAATTGCTCTCCCCCCACCCACCTGCCCAACAAAAACCCTCAAGTATCTTCTCCACCAGTAACTTAAAGGAAGAGTTCATTTGACTTGCCTTTAAGAATTATACCAGTGTGTAAACAAATCTCTTTGATCCTAGCAGTTCTTTTCTTTAATCAGTTCCTACTAAATGCTCGTGAGGTCACTAAAATGTCCTTAGAACTGAAGGCCAAGGAGACTGAGGAGGTTCATCCCCAACTCCTGGCGGGGGGCGGGGGAGAGCAGTTGGGGAGGGAGAATGGGAAGCACACACAAAGCACCCTGAGTTCAGGCAGCAGGGAGCTGGCAGGGAGCCGGCAGGGAGCCAACACGGAAAATGTGCTCTGAGCTGTGCCCTGCTATATGGATGGAAGGGTAATGGTTAGCATTTTCAGGGAATACACTCAAGTGTGAAAAAACAAGCTCTTACTGGTTCCATTCTCACCTGCTCCAGAAAACACTGAATGTAAGAGTAAGTATGGAGGTAATACACTTGGCACTGATCCTCAGAGAACAGTGGAAGTGTGAGGTTTCACTTGTAAAATGGCCTGAGTATACTACAGGAGATAAAAAGACAAGGGCCTTTTTTTTTAAAAGGAAGCAGCTTAACCTCAAGCCTAAGCATTTTCAGTGTAAAAATCTGAAACAGTACCTGCTTTTCTAGTGAAACACACGCAATATCCTATATACATTCAAATTTGCGTTTTGACTTTTGTACCTATTTCCTTAGTGCTTTTCTAGTAAGGGTATGAGTTACCAAACTCCCCAAAATATGCATACTAGAAGTTCATATAAAAAAAAAGTTCGGTGAGTCTAAAATGAACCACAGGTGTTGACAATAAAACACCTACTTGGCAGGGAAAAACCATATTGTGCCTACAAAAAAATTCTCACTTTCATAGTGACCTAACTAAGCTAACACAGAACCCAGTGACTATCGGAAAAATGTATCACCTCAACACTCCACGTTTGTATCAGATAGGATGGACCACTTCATCAAATAAAAGCATCATCCGTAGAAGCTAGTAAATATGTTTTTCTACATGTAAATTTGGGGGGAGGGAATGCAAAGAAAGCACATGGGTGATGTCCTCACTATTAATTCAAGAGTGAGGAGAAACTGGCTAAAGAAAAAGCCAGAGCATAAGGAAAGCTCACTAAAGAAAATCAACTTAAAAAACAAAAACAAAAGATTACTTCCAGGAGAGAAGGCAAAAATGAGGAGGGAGGAAACAGGGAGGAGTCTGAGAGAAAGAGGTAGAGTGACAAAGGAAAAAACTATGGGATGGAAATACTAGAGGGAAGGCAGGTGTGGAGATGGAGAATGGAGCCTAAACACACTGGCTGTCAGGAAGGGACAGAGAGAAGGTGAGCATTGTGAACATTTCAGCATCCCCAATTCAATAACAAAGTAAGCTGTTGCTTTATAGCATTCACCTAGGAGACCAGGGCAAGGAGGTTTTACTTTGCACTTACCCTGCAGTCATCTCTTACATAGGATTCATTCACTGTCTATAATAACTTAGCTTAAGAGGTTATTTTCTCTTCAGGAAGCTGTTCAGAAGACTGGCCACCGATAGCTCCCATAACAAACTGGTTCCCCATTTGAGGTTCAGAAGCAGGGAATATCTGCACTTGTCAGAACCAATACTATCGCTCAAGTCAAACCTGAAGGTGTGCCACATATGCTGGGATAGAAACCTCATCAACAAAGTAGGTTCTGTTTTCTTTCGGCAGAGTAAAGTTTGAACTCATGGCCTTGCACTCATTAGGCAGGTGACCTACCACTTGAGCTATGCCTCCAGCTCTTTTTGCTTTTGTTATTTTTCAGAAGGATCTTGTGACTTTGTCCGTGTTGACGCTGGACAGCAACTCTTCTACCTACACCTCTGCATAACCAGAATTATAGCTATGAACCACTATGCCCAGCTTTTCTTTGAGATAGGGTCTTGCTAACTATTTTGCCCAGGATGGCCTTGAACCACAACCCTCCTACCTGGGATTACAGACGTGAGTTATCACACCCAGCTACAAAGTTGCTTCTTATGAGGAAGACTGGAACCTCTCTCACAGGAATACATGAAAATCCCAAGAAAGCAGTTTCATTCCACAGAGCAAGAGGTCAAACTCCTAGGACCTCCTCTGTTGTAGAGAACTAGTAAAAGGCCCCCATGCTTCCAGGCCCCCTGCTTCCAGCTGAAGCCTATCTCATCCCTCCAACTCACTTGGGGACAGGACATCTGGAGGGGAGACCTCTAGGTCCTCCTGCAGCATCACTGTCAGTCCCAGGACTCACTCTACTTAGTGCAGCAACAGATTTAGCTGCTGCTGAGAAAGGAAACAAGGGAAGTGGTTGTTGCTCTCAACCATGTCTTTTCAGAGAATCTAAAGCCATGCTGTGCCTTTGAAACCACACTCTTTCCAAGACAGCACCAGATCTCCCTTAGTGTGCACTCCTCTGACATACACGGTACAGGGACAGCTGGGCACTGCATGCTGTTGCTCAGCTGTATGGCGCGTTAACTCTGGGGTGGGACAGAGCCACAAATGCGTAAGCAAAGACCCCAGAACAGCCGGACTATAGCTAGCAAGCCCACCATCACCCCGGCTCAGCTTGCACAGGATTAAAGGGGATACTCTTCTAGTCAGTTATAGGCAAGAGGTAGTCATGGTTGGTTGACCAATTAACTTTGTTTATTGGGTGAGAACGTAGAGCTAGTTAGGAAATACTAGTACCAAGTCTCCATAAATAGCTTCCTGCTGGTTATAATCACAAGGTTAGAAATGAAAACCTATAACCTATAACAAAAACAAAATTTCCCCATGGTTTTCCAGAACCTGGGCATGTCCCCGAATGTAAGAATTTAGCTCTGGCTCTTTCCAATGCTTAATGATTCACTGTGGTTCTGCTGCCACTATCCACTCCCTCCTGTGATCCTGGGCCAGCTGAGGGATTAGCACTTAGTTATCTGTCTTAAACTGGGAGAGTTTACAGATCACTCTTCACCAATCTTGTTTGAGAGACACAGAAAAGCCAGATGGGAGAGAGCCTTGAAAACTTTTCAACCAAGGGAACCAAAGGCTGGCTTGTTCCAATGGCTTTCCAGTGATAGTCTAACTGAGCTGAAGCATTTACCTACAGGGGCTATACCAGGCAACCATGTGACAACCAATTAGATACCTTAAATCTGCCTGAAAAGACAGGTGACCTGCAATCTTGGGGTGGCTTCTAGGCTTGACTTGGATTCTCCTCAAGCTCAATCTGCCTGACGATCTGTATTGAAGGAGGACAGAGCTGAACCCAGAGACTGACAGCTGCCCACTTGCCATATGGCCTGAACAGCAGGGCTTAGGGCTTGGAAAACACCTAAACATAGAGGGAGCTAATTACAGCTCAACATCACTAATGCAAAAAGAAAAAAAAAAACAACTTAAGGATAGATTAGCAACCAGTATAAAACTTTCCTTATTTCCTACTGGAAATGAATCCCAATATCCTCATTGTCCACTTTGAGTACTTGGAAACAAGCCCAAGGCCGAAGTCCAACATGACTGTTTTGTGGGGATGTTCTTACCATCAGGAACCTCATCTGGCCTCTTCCTCTTCTCATACACAATAATGATCACCAGAAGTATGATGATTTCAGCCAGAATTCCCAAAAAAGGCCAGAGTGGGGCTAGGTGGCTCCGTACCCTGAGGATGGTGACAACTGCAGCAGAGCCAATAGAGTTGGTAGCATTGCATTCATATTCGCCAGGGTCTTCTGTGATCTGCAGGTTTGTAATACTCAACTCAGTGTAATTCTCCTTGTTGATGATAAAAAAGCGGCCAGAGGTATTAACAATGTCCTGCAGGAAGAAAAGTGGGGACACACAAAGATCAGAATAGGTGAGCTAGTGGCCAAGGGAAGTGTGACACTGTCCCTTCATTCTTACCAGGCCACTGGCTGGCATAAGACTGCAGTGTCTACGTTTGTTCAAGGAATTTTGAGCACTTCATGCTGACTTCCCTTCAATATCAACAACAACAAATCAATAAGCTTCTGATAGGTACATGCCTCCCCTGCCACTGGTCCTCTGAACTTCTCTGGCTTCCAGAAAGCAAGTGGAGACCTATTGCCTGTAGACCCAAAAAAGACCAACGATCTAACGAATGCTGTTTCAAACAGCAGGTAAGAAACCCAAACAGGAAGATGGAAAGGTTGGCAGAGGGGCTCATGCGGTAAGAGCACCTGCCAATTGCAAGCATGAGGCCCTGAGTTCAAACCCCAGTGTCGCCTCCCCCAAGAAAAGATGATAATAGGAGGAGGAAGTGCAGACCCTCATAGCACCCATGTGCCTGGGGAACCTCAGGCATGTATGATGATTTCCAAGTCAGCACATTTATTTCACACTTGGTAAGGCCTGACAAGTCTCCTTAAACAATGCTAAGAAGTGACTCTTCAGGCAGGGGGAAATTCAAAATTGCCCTTTCCTTTCAAGACTACAAGCCGTAGTCTTAAAAACAGTCAACAAATACCTAGTAATATATACCTATACATTTTATATCCTACTAAAGGGAAAATGAGATAGACATGGAGAAGTATGACACAAAAATGCTCAAGGAGTTTGACCTCAGGAGAGAAGCAGATAGCCAAAGGAACGTGAGAGAAGGTATATGGAGTGCTGTGAGGCACTGCAGGAAAGAATCAGGAAACGCTTTAGAAAAGAGCTGTCACTTGCATGGGATCATGGAGGTAGAGTTGACAGAGCAGGTCTGGAGCAATCCAGGCAGAGATTGGCATGTATGTGAGGCAGAGGTGTTGAGAATGCATGAGCAGGGGTTTTGGGTAGAGCTGGGATGAGCTCTAGCACTCAGAGGATGCTGGCAGGGGAAAAATGGGCCATGGATCTTCACCCTGCAACAAGTAACACAATACACAGAAATAGTAGAAAGGAAAGGGAAAGATTAACCCTCAAATTATTCTAGTTACAGCATACAATCATGTGTGCATTTTAGTATGGGTACACTGAAATGGAGAATGTGGTCTTCAAGAAAGGAACTATTTTGTGAAGTTCCATGCTTCATCTTTCCAAAGATGAAAATACCCACTTAGTACTTTCAGCCTGCTTTGGCAAAAGCTACAGCCCTCCTGTAGCTTTTGGACAGTTTTTGTCAACACCTTAGAAAATCAGTCATGTCTTTTTGTTTTTTGGTTGGTATAGGGGCTTGAACTCAGGGCCTTGTGCTTATAGGCAGGCGCTCCACCACTTGAGCTATGATGCCAGCCCTTTTTGATTTCGTTATTTTTGTATGCCAAGGCAGGCCTGGACCACAATCTTATTTACACTTCCCATATAGCTGGAATGGCTGGCACACACCACCATGCCTGTTTTTTTTACCGGGAGAGATTGGGTCTAACTGTTTGCCTTGCCTTGAACTGTCATCCTCCTGATCTCAGTCTCCCAAGTAGCCAGATGTGACCACCGCACCTAGCTACCTGCAACATCTTGTTGGTCTTTCAAGGGTCTGCCATGAAGACGCTCAACTCAACATCTTCATCTCCTCACTCATCCTGATCCTCCTTACTAAAGGGTTTTTGAAATCTAATCATCATTACTGCTGGCACTGGAGTCAACACCAGACATCTTACTCTCAAAGAGGTCATGGAGTGGGAAGAATAAAGGACTTGAAATTAAAAAAACGAAAACAAAACTGGTATGACCCTTGGTTTTACCACCAATTTACATTGGTTACTATGTAACCTGTCCAAACAGGCTGGATCAGATGATCTGCAGGGATCTGTCTAATCAAAGAGGTTGCCTGAAAAGTACAATGCTATATACAAGGACTGGGAACATGTATGATATCCTCTCTGACAAAAGGGGAAATAGACTAGGAATCACTAAATCAGAGGAAGTAAGAGAACAAGGCACTGTCTAAAGATGACTTTTTCTGTAGCAAATATTGTTGAATTAAAAATGTATAAGGCTATCCTTCGGTCTGCTTAGGTTCCCCCAATTTTTTATAAGTATTTGCTGAGTTCTAGGAACTAATTTATAATTGTCCTCAGGCCCTTGTCTTCCAAAAAACACAAAAATCAAAAAACCAAGATAGGTACTCATAGTTAAGATTCTGAAGATCAGGTTTAGTTCTTTGTGTCAACTCCTAAAGGCAAGTAATGTAATTCCGTACCAGACAGACAGCTCTCACAAATCATGTACAGAGTGTCCATGCTAGAGAAACACTGTCCTCCAGAATCATCATATAAACCACTCATCACTCTACAAAGAGTAACCAAAGCCATGCCCACATCCAAGAATATAGTCGTTGTGGTAAATGATCCAGATGTCTGGACCTCCCTAGGAGAAACTCTAACGAGCACAAAGACCCAGGCGTAGAGAAGCAGGGCTGCCTCCTACTCACCACGAGCATACCATTCTCCTTCTTGCGCCATATCCACTCTGGGTGGGGGTAGCCAACTGACTTGCAGTACATCATGGCATCCTGCCCTTCATTCTTGTTCTCACTCCGTTTATGGCCAGTTATGTCAGGAGCAGCTGTGAAAAAGTGTTAAATACAGTTACCATGGAAGTCTATTCTGAATGGGATATAAAACCCCTACCTACTTGCTCAGAGCCCTGCTTCAGATACAATTGGTCTTTAGGCACACCCTAACATTTAGCTTTGATAAAGAAAATTCAGATCAGAATAGGGTAATGGGACTAGCCCAACCCACGAAGCAGCCAAGCAGATATCAGGGCTATTAATATATGAGGTTCTAATAAAGTAGGAGGTTCTCCAACCTACTGGAAAAAGACCAAAATGCCCTTAAACCCTCCTTAAAGAATATCCAAATAGAACCCATTATCATCTCCTCTATCAGTCCAAGTTTCTTCTTAAAACACCGGTACCAACAATTATGGAGCATATTAAATGTTACATAAACATACCAAACACATAAAATCAAGTCCATTATAAGCCATGTGAAAACAGTGAATGCATGGGAAAAGCTACTTGATGATTATCAATGACCAAAGCTCTCCCAGGAAAGAGGGCATTCAGCAAATTGGGCTTTACAAGGGGAACCAATGTCCCAAAAGCTTTTGTTAGCAGCTTAGGAATCTGCCTTGAGCAAGGTGTGAACACAAGCCTGTAAAACCAGCACTTGGGAGGCAGAGTCAGGAGAATCCAGAGTTCAAGACAGTCCTCGAAAAGACCGTCTCAAAACAAAAACAAACGAACAAAAAACCTGACTTGATGAACAGCTGATTTGCAACAATTTTAGTGAACCCCATCTATGGGGGGGACAGAAATTTCTAGGCATGCTAAAAGCTGTTGACCTTTTCTACTTTCAGGGACCACTTAGGAATAAACAAACAGCACCTATAATCTAAAAATCTAAAAATTAAATCAGTTCAAGGATCCAAGAATGAGGGTAATTCTTTGACTTTAACCTTTATTTTGGTAGTACTGGGGTTTAAACTCAGTGCTTTGCACTTGCTGTGCAGGCATGGGTCCACCGCGTAAGCCATGCCTACAGCCCTTTTTGCACTGGTTATTTAGGAGACACGGTCTTGCTTTTTGCCCAGGCCAGCCTGGACCATGATCCTCCTATTTTATGCTTCTTGCCCTACCTAGGATGACAGGCATGCACCACCATGCCCAGCTTTTTTCCATTCAGATGGGGCCCTTAAAAACTTTTTTGCCAGGGCTGGCCTGAAACTTTGATCTCCTGATCTCGGCCTCCCACATAGCTTGGGATGAAAGCGGCATTCCACTGTGCTCAGTTATAGGTCTCACGAACTTTTTGCCCAGGCCAGCCTCAAACCAATAAATATCCTCCCAATCTCAGCCTCCCAAGTAGCTAGGATTACAAGGGTAACCACTGGTGTCCAGCTGACTTTAACCTTCTAACTATATTTTCGTATTATTTTTACTTTTTTTTGTGTGTGTGTGTGTGCAGTACTGAGGCTTGTACTCAGGGACTCATGCTTGCTAGGCAGGCGCTCTACCATTTGAGCTCCAGTTTAACTGTTTTCTATTTATTAATGCCTAACCAGTTACAGTAACCTGAAAGCAATAAAACTCAAATTAAACCAGAGTTACGCCCAAGTTGACTAAGAGATTTGACAGGCCTTGGTTCAAATTCCAGTTTTACTGGATCTTTAATTATTCTATGTTTTGGTTATATACCTATTATCAAATAGAGATAATTCTTGCTCCTGCTTCCCTCCCATTGTTCCTAAATAAGTAAAATGTCAAAATACTTATTTTGAGACTGACCCATGTACCACCTTTGACTGGCTTGGCTTTTCTTGGCTTAAAAACAATCCAAAGTCCTACTGTACACAGACTGTGCTTCGCAGGCACAAACTGGTCTTGCATTCAACTTCAAGAGGCACCTGTACAGGAATGAATGGGTTAGGCCCCAAGATGTCTCTACTACCAGTTCCTGCTAAACTGAGGCCTGCTCATAGCATTCAGTGTGAAATGTTTTCTGGAATGTTATAAAGGAAATGATGCCTTTTCGTTTTTTCGAGGCAAAATTCTTTATTATCGAAGGGAATGGTCAGGTTGCCTCTATCTTGTTCCCACCAAAGCAAACTTTTCCCATAGCTAATCCATCACTTCTTGGACCTTCTGATGACCCTTCCTCTGAGCTTTCTTCAGTCAAAAAATATTAAGTGCTCCAACGAGTAGGGTTCCATAGCTATACCTAACCAAAATAGCATCATGGGGCGGACAAAGGACACAGCAGGCATTGACTTTGTTGTCTCCAGCTGCATTTCATCACTTAACAAGTATTTGTTGGTCACCTACTACATGCCATGTATGTCATAGAAGGGTGGCAAAAGGCCTTTCTGATAAGGTATACTTAAGCATAGTTGTGAAGAAAGTAAGAACTAAGTCACTCATATGTGCAGGACAAACATTACAGGGAGAGGGAGAGGTAAAGGCAAAGGTCTTGGGGCAGATGTGTGCCTGTTACATAAGAACAGCAAAGGAGTTTGGCCAGAATACCAAAAACAAGAAAATAGTAGAAGATGCAATCAGAGTCTGAGAACCCAGCTGAGAGGAACTGTAGGCCACTGTAATGACTTGGCATTTACACTGAGTCTGGAGCCATTGGTGACTACAAAATACAGGTGGTAACATGATCTGTGTGTTTTAGTTGACTCCCTGTGGCTATGTGGGCAACTGCAGAGAGACAACAGTGGAAACACAACCAATCAGGCTACTCAAGTTATCCAGACAAGGAAGAAAGGGGTGGTTTGCATAAGGGCAGTAGCAATGGAATGGGAGAAGAGGCAGTGAAATTATGGGTATTTTAATTTTAATTTTATTTTGGCACTAGGGTTTGAAAGGGCTTCATGATTACAAAGCAGGAGCTCTTCTGTTTGAGTCACACATTCAGTCCATTTTGCATTGGTTATTTTGAAGATGGGGTCTCAGAAACCATTTACCTAGGCTAGCTTCAAACCACAATCCTCCTGATCTCAGCCTCCCATGCAGCTAGGCGTACAGGTATGAGTCACCAGTGCCTGGTAAGATTCTGGACATATTTTATAGATTGAGTTAATATATTTGTTAATGAACTGGATACGGGACATGAGAGAAAAAGGAGTCAAGGATGACTCCAAGATTGTACCCTGAGTAATCCCAAGAATGGAGCTGCTAGTTACTAACATGAGGAAGACTAAAGAAAACTCAGGGTAGTTTTACATGTTTCTTTTTAGTTTGTTTTGTTGGGGAAGAAAGCAATAGTGGTGGTTCAAAACCAGGAGTTTTTAACATGGAAGTGAAATTGTCAGCCAGGAAGCTGAATATTAAGTGTGGAGCTCAGGGCAGTGGTTCAGGGTAGAGATACAAATTTTAGAAATGTATTTTCCTGTTTTCATTCTCCTCTGCCACAAAGAAAATACCCACTCTGGGCCAGTTACCTGCCTAATGCCATTAGCACTGTGAAGTCAGTACTATCAGATTTTGCTTTGGAGGATCATCCCCAAGAACATACACTAGAATCAGCCAGAAGGCTGGAAACTGAAATTGACATATAGCTCCACAGACTCTACAGTCACTAGTCTGAAAGGACTCAAACTTTAAAAGGTCAGAACTGGGGAGAAGGTTAGAGATGGTCTTCACTCCTGCTTTGGTGTTAAGAAGAGAACATTACTTTCCCTTTCATTTATCTAGTGCAAACATTCTGCAGAGGCTTCTATTTAAAAATGGGAACACAGCCTTAAAGGCTTCTATTAACTTAGGCAATTCCCACCACGTTTATTGGCCATGTTACAGAGTATAAGCCTACAACAGAGTTTCAATGGCCAGATAAACTCCTGCTTTCTCTTCCTCTTACCAAAAAAAAAAAAAAAAAAAAGTATGAAGCTTTGGACTATTGCCTCTACCTACTGTATACCAAAGAATAATACCCTTGTTATTCACCCTTTGGGTGATACAAAAATCACTAGCATACTAGACAGAAAATTAATGCAAACCCCACCACTCCACCCTTAAGAAGGGAGTAACTATAACAACTATCACTTTAGCCTTTGGATAAATGAAAAGGTGTCACTTCTCTCTTATCCTTTCTGGTAGTTACTCACTTAGTGCCTGCTTCTGTTCCACCCGCTGGGCAAGCCAGCACACCCACAGCAAGGAATATAACCAGGCGCTCAGAGTACATGTACGATAGTCAGAGAGACCCATTAGTGTTCAACTACTAGTGATGGTTTTTAAATAGTCCACAAATTATTTAATATGTAGCCATTTAAGAGGTGAAGCTTAATTTCCCTTATCTTGAGTGAGGGCTGGATTTGAGAACACCCTTCTTGAATAAAATAAAGCAGAAGTAAAGGTATACAACTCTGGAAATTAGTTCAGATAAGGCGCTGAGGCTTTTTTCATTCTCTCTCCATCTCCTTTGCTGCCACAATGTTTCTTGCTGTTTTCATTTTTTGGTGGTACTGTGAGGCAGGGGATGAACTCTGGATCTCATGCTGAGTGGCAGGCAGCTGCTCTATCACTTGAGCCACACAACTAGCCCTTTTTTATTTTTTTGGATAGGGTCTCATGATTTTGCCCAGGGCTAGCCTCATACTGTAACCTCCTGCCTAAGCCCTCCATTTAAGGGGAGGTTATCGTACTTAACAAGTATGCTAAGCCGGACATCGTGGCCATGCCTGTAATTCTAGCACTTGAGAGACTGAGGCAGAAGGATGGTGAGTTTGAGGCCTGCCTGGGCTACACAGCAAGTTCCAAGCAGCCTGTACTAGACAATGAGATCCTATCTCAAAACAAAAACAAAATCTCCACAAATACTAAAATTAAAAAAAAAAAAAAGACAGTAAGACCCAAAAGCACAAGTGGGTTGCTTCTAAACATCCCATTCTGCATGGACAGTCTTTTTTCTTCCTTTATGCAACACATCTAATCCCAGAGACACTGCATCTTTGCCGTAGGGAAAATACAGCCTGACTAAAGGAAGGAGGAGAGCTGATTTACTACTAGCCACGTCTAAGCCCAAGAAGGAATATATGAGAATGGTCCAGATGGAAGC